TGCCACCCGCACGACCAACCAGGGCCGGGGACAAACTGCAACCGAGGTACGTGCCCTTAGCGGGAACCGAACCCGGGTCTCTCCAGACCGCAGGCCGACGCTCCAACCGCTGAGCCAAACCGGCCAGGGCTTCCCTTTTTTTTTTTATCATCATTATAAGGTGGGAATAAAAGGGTTAGTAATATTTTAAATGGTGAAGATAAAAGTTTGCAAAAGGTGGAAACTGTGAAAATTGTGTTGCTTGCATGACCTTGGCTCAGCCTTTTGTTGAGTATGAAATAAGGTTTATCTGGATTGTACCCAAGGCAATGGATAACCCAACATATGCCTAACAAGATACCAGACCAGCCCTACTTTAAGATGGACAATGGGCCAGGTAAAGTACATCAGCAGGAACTGCTGGAAGCTAAAAGTAGGATATATAACCGACACCCCAACCCTAATTTGAGGCTGGGCCTTTCTCGGCTCAGCCTACCTGCACTCAGGCACATGCAATAAAGCCATTTTTTTTCTACACTGGCCTTGCATTATGGATCTGATCTCCCACCAGCTCAGACCTTTTAGTTCTGAATGATGATTGTTCTGTATTTTAGTTGTAATTTTGATGTGGTTGTGGGAGGAGGTGAGTAACACATTTACCATCTTGGCTAGAACTTTATGGTCATCTTAACAGATGCAGAAAAAGTGTTTGACAAAATTTGACCCTTTCCTGATAAAAGCCCCCAATAAATTAGACATAGAGAAACTTATCTTAACACAAGAAGGCCATATATAAAAAACTTACAGTGAACATCACATTCAGTGATGAAAAACTGAAAGCTTTTCCTCTACAGTTAGGACATAAAGACAAAAATGACTGTCTTTGCTACTTGTATTCAACATAGTAATGGAAGTTTTAGCCAGAGTAATTAGGCAAAAAAAAAAAAAAAAAATTAATAAGTAAATAAAAATAAAGGCCATCCCAGGTGGAAAGGAGGAAGTAAAATTATCTCTGTCTACTGATGACATGATCTTATATGTAGAAATCCCAAAAGACCTCACCAAAAAACTGTTAGAACTAATAAACAAAATTCGTAAAATTTTAGGATGCAGTATCAACATACAAAATTAGTTGTATTTCTATGCATAATCAACAAACTATCTGAAAAGGAAAGTGTAGGGTTGGGGGTTCGGTGAATGAACAAAATATAACCTTGAGGTATGCCTTCTTATAGCCTGGCCAACCAAGGATCAAAGTATAAATGTGAATAGATTGGGTATGTGTGACAAAGGGTTAAAACGCCACCCTGAGTGTAAAGTATATGTGTGAATAGATAAGGTGTGAACTGGGTTTGGAGAGCCACCCTGAGAGTGCCAATGGGCTCATTGCCCGAGCATGAACATATGTATCTCCGCTGGAAACAGCGAGACACAGGAAGTATGCCGGGCTTGGCTGTAAAGTCAGCAGATACCTAATCTCAAGGACTTAAAACACCAAGTAACCTAGGGAACCACTTTGCAAATAAATTGAGCTGCATCCAGAGATCTGGAGCATTTGCTCCCTTGCGATGCTCTCCCTCACTTCAAGCAGTGTCTGCTTGTAGTTCATTGTGTTGCAATGACCCCCGGCAGGCCAAAAGAGTCAGCAGGAAATAAAAAAACCCTACACAGTTCCATTTTCAATAGCATTAAAAAGAATAAAATACTTAGTAATAAATTTAACCAAGGTGGTAAAATATTTGTCCTCACCCGAGGACATTTTTCCATTTTTTTTTTTTTTTTGTCAGGTAGAGTGGGAGGGAGAGAGAGGAACAGAGAGAGAGAGAGAAACATCGATGTAAAAGGAACACATCGAGTGGCTGCCACCCGCACAACCGACCAGGGCCGGGGACAAACTGCAACCGAGGTCCATGCCCTTAGCGGGAACCGAACCCGGGTCTCTCAGGACCGTAGGCTGACGCTCTAACCGCTGAGCCAAACCGGCCAGGGCCCAAGGTGGTAAAATATTTGTACCCTGAAAACTAGAAAACATTGTGAAAGGAAAGAAGACACAAATTAGTGAAGAGACATCTTGTGTTTATGGATTGGAAGAATTACTAATTTAAAAATATTCATACTACCCGAAGTAATCTGTAGATTCAATGCAATCTCTATCAGTCCTAACAATGTTTTTTGTTTGTTTGTTTTTTTAATAGAAAAAGGAAACTCATTCTAAAATTCATGTGATATCTTAAGGAACCCTAACGGCCCAAATGATCTTCAAAAAGAACAAAGTTGAAGGGCTCACACATCCTGATTTCAAAACTTATTATAAAGCTACAGTAATTAAAATGGTGTGGTACTGAAATAAGACAGATTTAGAGACCAACAGAAATAGATTAGAGAACCCCAAAATAAATCCTTGACTATATGGTAAAATAATCTTTGACAAGATGCCAAGAATATACGATGGGGAAAAGATAGTCTCTCCAATATATGATACTGGGAAAACTGTATATCCACATTGAAAAGAATAAAATTTGGCTCTTGATTTATACTATACATAAATATTAACTCAAAACAGATTAAAAATTTAAACATAAAACTTGAAACTGTAAAACTTCTAGAAGAAAACATAGGAGAAAACTCCTTGACATTGGCCTTGGCAATGATTGAATTTGACACCAAAAGCAAAGGCAACAAAAGCAGAAAAAGACAAGTGGAATGACATCAGACTAAAAAGCTTCTGCATACCAAAGGAAACAACAAAATGAATTGGCAACTTATGGAATGGGGGAAAACATTTGCAAACCATACACCTGATAAAATATTAATATGTGAAATGTAACCCTGGCCAGTGTGGCTCAGTTGAGCATTGTTCCATGCACCAAAAGGTCACTGGTTTGATTCCTGGTCAGGGCACATTCCCAGAATGTGGGTTTGACCCCCAGTAGGGGTGCATAGAGGAGGCAACTGATTGATGTTCTCTCTCTCACATCAGTGTTTCTCTCTCTCCCTCTCCTTTCCTCTCTCTCTCTAAAAAAATCATATATATCCAAAATATATAAGAAATTTCCAAAACTCAATAGCACAGAAACAAATAACCCAAATTTAAAATGGGCAAAAGATATAACTAGAAATTCATTTAAAGAAAGCATGGAAATGACCAACAAGTATATGAAAAGGTGCTCAACATTACTAATCACTAGGGTAGTGCAAATCAAAACCACAATGAAATATCACCTCACACCTGTTACGATGGCTATACAATAATAAATAAATAATAAATAAATAAATAAACAAACAAACAAATAAATAACAAGTGCAGGTGAGAAAAGGGAACTCCTGCACATTGTTGGTGGGACTATAAATTGGTACAGCTGCTGTGGAAAACAGTATGAGGTTTCCTTAAAAAATAGAATTTTCCGCCCTGGCCGGTTTGGCTCAGCGGTTGGAGCGTCGGCCCGCGGACCAGAGAGACCCGGGTTTGGTTCCCATTAAGGGCACGTACCTCGGTTGCAATTTGTCCCCGGCCCTGGTTGGTGGTGCGGGTGGCAGCCACTCGATGTGTCCCTTCACGTCGATGTTTCTCTCTCTCTCTCCCTCCCTCCCACTCTATCTGAACAAAAAATGGATAAATGTCCTCGGGTGAGGATAAAAAAAAAAAAAATAGAATTTTCCGGTGCCCAGTAACCACATGTGGCTGGCACTTCTCTACTGAGCAACACAGCATTTCACAGTCTTCATTTCCTCACCCTTCAGTTCTGTGTTTCTAACCTTCATTCCTGTCCTCACTATTTTCTTTTAATGGATCTCTTTATTTTTTCTTTCTTTGGTCAAATTGTACTAAATAAAATATATTAGTAATTAAAAAAAAAAGAATTTGCATATGATCTAGGAATCCCACTTCTGAATATATATATCCAAAAAAAATAAAATTCATGGATGAAACTGGAGGACATTATATTAAGTAAAATAAGCCAGACACACACACACACACACACACACACGCGCACACACACACGCATGCACACACACACACACACACACAAATACTACATGATCCTACTTATAGGAGAAATCTAAAATAGTTAAACTTACAGAAGCAAAGAGTGAATGGTGGTGACCAGGGGATAAGTGGAGGGGGAATAAAAATGGTGTTGGTCAAAGGCTATAAAATTTTAGTTATGCAAGAGAAATAAGTCCCAGAGATCTACTGTACAGCATATACCTATAGTTAACAATATTGTATTGTATACTTAAAAATTTGCTAAGAGGGTAGATGTTATGTTAAGTATTCTTATCACACACAAAAAATTACAAATTAAAAAAATAAAACATGTAGAGAAAACTTTCGGAGGTAATGGATATGTTTATAGTATTGACTGTGGTCATGATTTCACAAATATATACTTATCTACAAACTCATCAAGTTGTATGCATTAAATATGTAGTTTTTGATATGTCAGCTATACCTCAGTCAAGTGTTGTTGTTTTTTTAACACATTAAAATATCTTTAATCCCCCCTCCCAACCCCCCACCCTCCACAAACAAAATCAGAGTATTCTTCCCAGGGGAAGAAGAACATTTCTCAAAAGCTATACAAAATAAAATTTGATAATTTGAGCAGAGAAATTGTAGGAAATGATAGGAAAATAGGACTCAGGCAATATATCCTCTTTCCTTTCTTATTTTTTGAAGTTTTGTGAGAAAATCTGTCAGTGCAGGAGAATGTAATTTAATAAGAACAATAACAACAACAATAATAGCTAACATTAATTGAGCTTTTTTATGGGCTAAGCAATATGCTAAAGGCTTCAGGTACATTGTCTTATTTAATTCTCACAAAATTTTATTACATATTCATTTATTTATTTAAAATATTTGTTGAACATTTTCTATGTGGTAGATACAGTGCTAGGTTCTAGGGAAACAGTAATAAATAAGATCATTATGGTCCCTGTTCCTGGAATGCTTATGGTATAGTAAGAGAAACAGACATCAAATAGATAAAAATAAATATTTATTGACATATGGTAAATGACATAGAGGTGTGACAAATAATGGGGAGGGCACTTCAGATAGAGTGGTCTGAGAAGGTCCTTTTCAGAAGGTGACATATGCAAGCTGAGACCTAAAGAAGAAGGAGGAGCCAGGTGGGCAGAGGAAGGGCCTTAAGGCAGATGTGAATAACTCTACCACAGAGAACTATTTCCTTTAATGGAGGAGTTAAAAGATCAGGGAAGACAAATAGAGAGAGTGGTGGGAGAGTGATGATAGCTGAGGCTGAAGATGGGCCATACCATTCAGGGCCAAGAAGATGCAGTTTCATTCTGAGTACATGGGGAAAGCTTGCAGAGTTTTAAGCAGGCTGGTGAAAGATCTGATTTATATTAAAAATATTAATCTGGCTGTCTTTTGGAGAACAGAGTAGAAGGAGATAAGAGCAAAAGTTGGGGAGAGTTGTTCAGAGTTTATAGCATTTCAGGTTAGAGATGATGATGATTAGATATAGGATGGTGGTTGAAGATTTGCAAAGAAGCAGATAGGTTTAAGATATATATTTTTGGAAGTAGAGTCGAAAGGGTCTGGTGATAGAGAAGGTGAAGTTAAAGATAACTCAGGTTTCTGGTTTGAGTAATAGGGCTGATGTATCACCATCCTTCTTTTTCAGTCTGCGAGAACAAAGCTCCAAGAGCTTAGGCAGTATGTTCCATGGGATATGTCTAGTACATGATTTGAGCATGGATCCATCCGACTCCAGAGACAACACACATAACCAACACATTGTATTCTCTCCAAAATGAGTCACAATTCTGCTGCTTTCTAAAAGGAGACATGTGGTTGTCTTCTGAATCATAGTCTCTGTCAACCATAACTCCATTTATTTAGTTATCCCAGAGAAAGTCAATATCCAGGCATGTCATCTGAAGCATGTTTTGTCCTGAAGCAGATTAGAAAACGTTGTTTGGATCACAGGCTACAAATCATGTGATTCCTTAAATGTTTGACATAGGTAAGCAGACTTAAGTCTGAAGGACTGGAAGTCATAATCCTAGATATTTAATTTTAGTTTCCAGGCAGAAATCAAGTTTTGTTGTCTCTCATGGGATCAGGAGAAGATGTGTCATTTCTGAATTCTTTTGAGACCTTTCAGCAACTTAGATGATGTTACGAACAGTTTCCCTGGAAGAAATGAGTTTACTTTAATGGGAAAAAGAGGAAAATGAAGTAGGTTAATAAGAACCAGAGCCCTAGACCGACCTCCATGATTACAGAGAAGGTCTAGAGGTCGCTAGAAGGCAGATAAGGATATTGATAGCATAAGGCAGAATTACATTAAAAAACAAGTATGCTGAAAACTCAGATATGTGTGGTGATTCTAATACAAGATAATTTTTTGGATGTGTTTTGGTAATATCCTGAGACTTTCTGTATTCTACTGGTATTTATTTATCAATAAAATGCCTCTTAATGTTTATTTTATTTGAAAAGTCATAGGTCTGATGAGAGAGGTGAAAATGTAAGAACATGGGGGCAATCATGGGCTTACCTGGTTGAATTGATGAACTGTGGAGTAGATTGTGGAGAAATCACTGGTTTTCACGGGTATTGGGATTTCTGTTCTCTGTAAAAAGTAATCATACCCATTTGGCTCACACGGACAAAGAGATACACATTCAAAAAAATATATTCCCAGGGAAAGGTAGTGTGACAAAGTTCTTCATGAGGAAGGTGAGGGAATGTTTAGCAGGAGGAGCTGGAGACTAAACACCACCAGCTCTCAAACATGAGAAAGGTTAGTGGCATTTTCTGAGCCTCAAACAGAAGCACACTATAGCAAACCAGTGGGATCAAGAACCAGAAGAGAAACAGAAGGGTGATTTTCTTGGCAAGTGTGAAGAAAAGGAAACATTCTTGTCCTGAACTCTACTGTCTTTTCTTTCAGATCTTCACTGGCTATTACTGGAAGGTATTGCCTGATCCATTTTGTTCCTGTAGTTCTAACTGCCTGGTCATCAAGTCATTGGGTTCTCCTCAAGCAGGGGGAACTGGTAGAGTAGGAAAAACATCTGGTATTAAGAGTGGCTCTGCTTGGAATACAAAGTTTAGCAATAACAGCAAAAGTCCCCTTTGCTCAGAGGTTTTGACATTTAAAATAAATTAAGGAATATTTAGGGTATTATCAAAACCTTGGAAACTCTCCAAAGTATAATTTTATAGTAAAGAAAAAGTTAAATTTGCAGATTAGTTTCTTGGTTTGTTGAGAGTGATTCATCTGGTCTTCAAGAGGAAATGAGGAAGACAATAGAAATCTCTGAAGAAGTTAAGAGTTTCCCTTCATGTTCCCTCTCTTCAAGGAGCCTGCTTTGCAAACACCTGTGAGGGGCTGTATGAGGGGATCCAAGATTTCTAGCTAGACTATTCCTTCCATCCACTGGAGAATGATGAGTTCTTTGGGCTTTTTTCAGAGGACATAGAAACTGGCCTCCTAAGACGTAGAGTGTTCTTTAGAAACGTGGTTCTTGCAGATGGTGGGAATTGCTGATGCCTAACCAAAGTCATCCAGTTATGTTGCTAGAGGGGTGGGGAGAATTGAGGGCTGCTCATGCCTTTAGTGTCCTCTACTGTGGAGGAGTTGCAAATTCCTGCCCCTTTCTCCTTTTGAGAGACTGCTTTTGAGCACCCCCATTTTTCCTACATCCGGGGTGAGAAGTGCCCTGCTACTGAATTTTCTCTTTTGGAAACTCCCAAACTTAATTGAACTTGGATCCACTCAGTAAGCATTTCCTGAGTGCCATGATAAGACATAGGGGAAGAGAGAGGAAGGCATAATTTTCATCTTCAGGCAGCTGGTTAAGCTGCAGGGACCAAACTTACTAATGTATTAAGCAGTTAAAGAACAGTCTAAAGAAGGGTATGAGTAAACAGTCCATTGGGGTGAGAGTGGTTGGGGCTGGAATGGTTTCACATAGAACTCTGCAGCTCCTACAGCTGCCTTCTCCTCTCTTTAATGGTATACACCATTTGGTTTAGTCAGATGATTGTGGTGACATGTTTGTGAATAATGACTGTAAAAACAATGCTAATGATGGAGTAAAAAGCTGAAATGACTCACCATGTTTGGATGAGTGACCTGAGCATACACAGTACTCTCTGTAGAGGCTAGAGCATACTCTGAGTTCCTCGGGGTCTCCACTATAAATACAGGGAGGCACAGTCAGTTGCAGAAGCACTTTGAGTCTGCTTTCCCTGTACCTTGCCTACCCCATGGGACTTTCTAGCCCTAAAGATGCAGTTGTTGGAGATGCAGGCATTGCCCTTCCTTAGGGTTCATTCATTTTTTTTTACAGTCATTGGAATTCTAGGTTGAATAAAAAACTTCTCAGTCACATGATCTATTTCTGATCTCATCTGTTGGGGGTATATAGTCTTGAGTATCCTAAAATTTTAGAGTTTCCTGCTGAATTCACATACAAGCAAGGAAGCTCCTAGGACCAAAATAGTAGTGCATATAGAAGAGCTAGAGAACCTCACTGGCCAGCACAATGGAGCCAGATATTTTACGTACATGTAATTAAACTTTCCAGAGATCCTTAAGTTGGGTTTGATTATATTAGAGATGAGGAACTGTAGGCTCAGAAAATTTAATTGACTTGGCACAAAATTATACAGGAAGTGATTGGATAAGGAGTGATGGGGTCAGGCAGTTTGTCTTTGGGCCTTTGATACTTTAATCCTATTCTTGCCCTGGACTTGCTGGATGATAATGGACAGGCTATGAGTCCTTTCACTGGCATTTAGTTTTTCCATCAGGAGGGTGAAGAATGACCCTAATCTCATTCTAAGAAATTGTGTCAGTGACTGGTTCACATGCTTGGAAGGGACCCTGTAGGTCCCAACAGGGGACAAACTCGTGCAGTTACAGGGTCTCTTCTTGTGTCACCTAGTCCATCTGAGTAATGACATTCTGACTCCACCCTCTCTCATTATCCAGCCCTGTGACTGGACCCCATCTTCTTCAATTTGGCTTTTCCCATCAGTTTTATGATTGGGAGTTGAGTCTGGAAGCTTACCAGAACTCTGGGTTTGCTGAGTAGAAAAAGAATCTGAAAAAAAAAAAAATCAGGTAAATTGAAACTTGTGACTGAAATGAGAGAGACCTTCCAACCATCCACCCCCATTGGTGTCTCTCTAGAGGATATGGTAGGAGGGGACCAGAAAGAGAAGAGTAAGCAGGTCCTGAGGATGGGTCCTACATTTCCTAGAGGGACACATTTCTCAGGAAAATTAGCAGGTATGCGGTCTATTGGTGTTGTCCCAATGGACTAGCTGAACCAATATTTGAACCCTCCCTCTCTTTTCCTGTCTTCTAAAAGACAGGTGAAGGGAACCCCTATCTTGAAGTTTCTGAAACTTTGGAGAGGAGGCAAGCAGGAAAGAAGGAAACCTGATACTTTTTTCTTCCGAATGATTAAGCATGTGATACAGAGCAAAGGAACCAGTAGAATCCACAGGATACTAAGATATTGATTTTTTTCATCAAAAACACCTGAAAAGAAAAAAAAAAAGTTGCACTTAAGAAAAAAAAAAGTTGCGTAAGGCCCAGTGTTCTTCTCAGAACCTACACTTAACCTCTTCTAGGCCACTTTTGAGGGCAGGGTGGGTTCATCTATACACAGAAGCATGGGGGCTCTAGGCAGAATATCTGGGAGTGGGAGATGGGGCAGGGAAGAGCCTGGTATAGCCAGGAGAAGGAAATGATTCTGCCTTCTCAAGGACTTTGCTCTTGGGCTCTGGGTGTGTTGGAGGGGGCTGGGGGAGAAAGGTGAGACCTCTGGGGGTAGTGAGAGGCACAGAGCATCAGAGGGTGTCTGCCTTCTCCCAGAATCTTTGGCTGCCTCCTACTGAACTGCTGTTTTGGGAATCATGTAGGACTTGGTCATGCCACACCCCACAGCTGCTCAAGGCCCTTAGAGAGACCTAAGAGAGTGTTACCTTTGCAGAGACTTTGAGTAGACAAAGAGAAGGATGCATTGCTGACAGTGTTGTTAGCTATGCAAGTGTAGGTCTGTTCATTGGAATTCTTGGGGTTCCAAGAGATAGTGAGGTTTGCTTCCTCTAGAGTTGTGTTTCCTGGGACCTGCCACCAGAGTGATATATGGTCATTTAGATTCTCCACAGAGCAGGCCAGGTAGATCTCACAGGTCCCATTTTCAAGGAGCTGAGTGCGATTGGCCACTTGTAACTTCCTCAGTCGTCCTGAGTGCAGAGAAAAGATCTGGATTAAGAATAAACGGCTTGGCTCAGGCCTCTGTGAGAAATGTCCTTCCCTTCAATGTTTCTGTATTCCACCTGATACTCTGCTATATACTTTGTAAATAGTTTTCTTTATGTTGCCTAATTGATGGGATCAAGGTATGGGGTGAACAAATGATAAGGGACATCACTATGAGGCAGAGTAGCCAGTGTGAGAAATGAATAGTGAAACACTGAGGTTACCACCAACTAGTTGGGTGATTTGGAGCTGGTTGTTTATTTTTCCGCACTTCATTTCATTCCTGGGGTCTTTTCTATCTGTTATTTTCTGCGTCTTGTGTAAAAACAATTTGAAGACTAAGCTGGAGGGCCAGCCCTACCTTAGCCAGGTCAAAAACCAGAACCAGGCATAAGAGCCCTGTTTCCTCCATAATCAGAATTCCCTAGCTGGAGTGGAAGATGGAAGCTTATCTTCCCTGGGGAACCATATTTCCCACAAATCTACAGGAACCCTGGTCCTCATTATATCTAATGTTGGCTCAAATAGTGACAAAGAGACTCTGAAGTAGAGTGTCTGCAAGACAGAAGGAGACATGTTGAGAACCAAAAAATTAGGGAAGAAAGAAGCAGAGAAACTGAGAGGGCAAGCTAGTTATTCTGGGCAGCAAAGAAGTGCAATATATCCAAGCATTTGAGGAAACATTTACTGCAGAAATTTCTGATAGCAAAGACCAGAAAATACTGGCTAGTGAGATGTCAGTAGTTATGGATCAATGGGGACATAAGAAAAATACAGAAAAGATCATTGACCTAGACTTGGCTTAAGGTGATCCAGTAAACAACAGAATGACTCCAACTGTCTGATTAGAAGAGACAGAGGAATGAATGCTTTAAGTTTAATTAACTGAGTAGGACTGGTGGAACCTATCTTGCCAGAATGGAGCTTTTATATAACATCAAGCATGTTGGATTTGGAGTAGGAACCTAGGTTAGAATCATTATTTTGTTATTTACTGGCTACATGACCATAAATACATTGTTACTTGCTTTAAGCCTCTGTAGAACTGGGCAATAATACCTACTTCTTAGATAATTATGATGATTAAATGAGATAGCGCCTAGCACAGCAATGGCAAATATTTGGCATGAATGTCACATTTTCCTCAGACTTCATAGCTAACCTCAAAAAGCTATCTTATTACATATTACTTTTTTTCCACTTGATGAGTATTTAACTTCCTACTTGACATTTCCACTTAGAAATAATGTGTATCTCAAACTCAATATGTTAAAAAGAATCCCTGCTTTTCTCTCTAAAATCTGCTACATCTGCAGCCTCCCCACCTTAGTCAATAACAACTTCATCCAATAGCCAAGAATATCCAGAATCCAACCACTTCTCACTATTTCCTTGGCTACCATCCTGGTCTAAGCCAGCATCATCTCTTGCATGAATTGTTGCAGTGGCTTCCACCTTTGTTCCTTACCATCTGTTTTGCAACAGAGCAGCCAAGGGATCTTTAAAGCAAGTAAGTCAAATTATATTACTTCTCTTTAAAACCCTCTGGTGGTTCTCAATTTCACTGAGATTTAGAAGCCAAAGACCTTATGCTGGCTCTCAGAGCCTTACTAAATCTCATTTCCTGTTACTCTCTCCCCACTCTGCTTCTTGATGTTCCTTGAATATGCCAGGTACAAGAGAGTGCATGTACTAGATGTTCTTCATCCAGATGTAGTCATGGCTTACTCCCTCGCCTCTAACAGGTCTTGGCTCAAATGTCATCTTCCCAATGAAGCTTAGTATGACCATTCTAAATAAAATTGATCCCTGCTCCCTGTTGACACTATTGATACTCCTTATGCTGTTCTAATCTCTCTTTTCTCCACAGCATTCATGGCTTTCTTACATGTGTCACCATTTGTTTATACATTACATGCATTATTACCTCCTCTTATTCCCCACACAGAACGTCAACTCCATGAAGGCAGGGATCTTTGTCTGTTTTATTCACTGATATATTTGAAGTGCCTAAAACAGTTACTTGTACATCGTTCATAGTCAACAAATATCGTTGACTCAATGAATAAACTTAACATGGCTTCAACATCTTTCTTAACAATGAACTCTAGGCAGTTACTCCCAATTAATTGATCTTGGCCTGCAAGATAAAATCCTTTCCATCTCTAGCCTGGTGCCTGAAGTAATTGGTCAATGTTTTTTAAAAAACCTACATAGTTTATACCTTGAAACTTCTTTGTACTATTGTAAAACATGTTGGTGTATATGCCTTTGAAGGAGAGGTACTTTATATATATATGTATATTTACTTTATTGATTTTTAGAGAGAGAGAAAGGGAGAGGGAGAGAGAGAGAGAGAGAGAGAGAGAGAGAGAGAGAGAGAGAGAGAGAGAAACATCGATGAGAGAGAACATTGGCCGCAGGAGAGATACTTTAAAAGAGCCTGAGAAGGGATGGACATTGAGCCCTAGGAGTGTCGTTGTTGAAGAAGTCATGCTTGGTCTTCTGAATGGTGGCAGAAGAATGTTGTCTCTACAAGCCTGGCATGAGGTCTGTTATCAGACTTTCCACTAGATGTGTCTCTTCCCTCCAGGGTCCTAGCACTGCCTTGATGATCACTGATTACCCCGAGTGATTCTGCCTGTAGTGGGTTGAATGCTAAACACCTCCTCCCAAAGATATTCTAGTTCCCAGAATCTTATTTGGAAATAAGTTCTTTGCAGATGTAACTGAATTAGATGAGATGATTCTGGATTATCTATCTGGGTAGGCCCTAAATCCAATAAGTGGCTTTATAAGAGAAAAGCAGAAAGATATTTGAGATCGACAGAAGAGGAGAAAGCACAGGGAAGAGAAAGAGGTAATGTGACCATGGTTACTCTGGGAAGATAAGCATTCCTGTCATTCATGGCGTCACTGATTGCTAGAAGGATTTTTTTTTTCTGACATTGACTCAAACTGTGTCATTATAGTTTTCATAATTTTATGTTGAGGACATGAGCTGTCTGGGGAAAATATTGTTTTGTCAATTATTCAAACTTGATAGAAAAGACATTTCTCTTTTTAAGCTCGTCCTTATAGAACATGCTTTACATAGATCACTGTTCTGTATGTTGACTACTGGGTCAGATGAGCCTGTGTGTAAAGGGAGGCATTGTACCAGCTAGTTACATGGGAAGCTCTTCCACTTACTATTTCTGTGATTGCAGAGGGTGTTGCTGTAACTGATGCTGTGCCTCAGGGGTAAAAATAGTACCTACTTCATGGAGATTTTATGAGGATTACATGAGAAATGCATGTAACGCACATGGCAATGAAATCATAGATATTTCACTTCCATTACTTCCTCTACATTTGTAGTTGCAAGGGACCATTTTATAGTGTGAGGGGGAGTGAGGTGATTTTGGGCTGGGAGTCACAAGACTTAGGTTCTAGTCTCAGCTCTGTCAACTAACTGGCTGAGCGAGGCTACTGAGTTGCTTTACATCTGGACCTCATTCTGGCTCCAAATGCCACACTTTTTTTTTTTTTTTTTTACCACTAGGCTACAGCACCTATTTGCAGTCATATAGAATTAGAATATGTAATATTTCTTAGTCTATACATAACTAAACCCCAAGCTTTGACTCACTGAAGATCTCCAGACTGTAATTGGAAATCTCGCTGGAGGTCGTTGTGGTTATCTGGGCACGATAAGGTCCGCTGTCTGCCATTGTCAGGTTGTTGATCTGCAAGGAGTAGGACTGGGTGACATTCAGTCGATCTTCCCGCTGTGGATCAGTCACCTGGATTTTTTTTTCCTCTGTCAGTATGAAAATGATAGATGTTCCATCATGAAGCCAGGTGATGGAGCGGCTCTGCTTTCCTTCAGGAAACTTCAGGGGAAGAATAACCGACTCCCCAAGCACCCCTGTCACCAGCAATGTGGTTGTGCTGGTTTCTGAAACTGTGTTCCCTGTAAACACAGAAGGGAAACTGCTATGACTCCCCTGCACTCTTCCCTGTAACTCTGCTGATCTATTACAGCTCTCTACTGAAGCCCAGAGAAAGGATGAAGAGGAAAAAGCTTAGGAAAACTGTTGAAATGAACTATCAGAAAGTCTCCACCCCAGAAAAGGGGACTCTAGTGCACTGCTGGTGGGAATGCAGACTGGTGCAGCCACTGTGGAAAACAATATGGTGTTACCTCAAAAAATTAAAAATTGAACTGCCATTTGACCCAGTGATCCCACTTCTAGGAATATATCCTAAGAAGCCTGAAACACCAATCAGAAAGAATATATGTACCCCATGTTTATAGCAGCACTATTTACAGTAGCTAATATCTGGAAACAGCCCAAGTGTCTATCAGTAGATGAATGGATAAAAAAGCAGTGGTACATATACACAATGGAGTACTAGGCAGCTGTAAGAAAGAAAGATCTCTTATCCTTTGAGACTACATGGAGGGACCTGGAAAGTATCATCCTAAATGAAACAAGCCAAACAGCGAAAGACAAGTTTCATATGATTTCACTTATTGGTGGAATATAATGAACATAACAGTCTGAGGAATGGGGTAGTCCCAGAGACGTGGAAGTGGGGTACAGACTGACAATCGCCAGAAGAGGGGGAGGTGGGGGAGAGATAAACCACAGAACTTATATGCATGTGTGCATGAACAGTGGACATGGACAACGAACTGGGGAAAGGGCAGGGAGGGAGGGGGAAGGGGGAATCAGTGGGGGAAAAGGGAGAAACATCTGTAACAAAAATTAATTAATAAAAAAAAAATAATAAAAAAAGAAAGTCTCCACCCCAACAAAATGTCTGGCACTCTTGGTTAATGGGCAGTTGGCCCAGATGATCCTGGCCCAGGTTGCTCTCTCACACTGGCTGGTTACTCTGGGTCATACACACTATCTGACCCCAGCCTCTGAGTTCTTTCTCTGGGCATGAGGTGGAGGGGGACAGGGAACTACATCAACTCCCTGCCACAGACTCCAAAACCACAAGTATTTGTTGATAATGTATAATTAAAGCTCAACATTTACTGATTACCTACCATGTGGACTTGTTAGAGGACTAATAATTAGAATTTACAGTTCTTTTTATACATTACTTCATTTGATGCTGACAACAATTTCTCTGAGTAGGTAGGATGGATGTTATTATCTCCATTTGTAGATAAAGAAACTGAGGCACAAGAGTAGTTAACTAGGAGTTTTCCCAGGGAACTCAACTACTTTTTTTTTTTTTAATCCTCACCCGAGGACATTTTTCCATTTTTTGTTCAGATAGAGTGGGAAGGAGAGAGAGAGAGAAACATCAATGTGAAAGGGACCCATCGAGTGGTTGTCACCTACACGACCCAACCAAGGTTGGGGACAAACTGCAACTGAGGTACATGCCCTTAGCGGGAACCGAACCCAGGTCTCTCTGGACCACAAACCGATGCTCTGACTGCTGAGCCAAACCGGCCAGGGCAGGAACTCAACTACTTTGACTGCAATTACTTTGTGCTCTTTTTGGGATACAAGAAGTATCTTCTAAAATAGATTACAGTCTAGTAGAAGAGATAAACATAAAAGTAATAAATATTATTTCAAAGGAACATATAATGGCCATATTCTCTAGAGCTTATCTCAGAGAACATTGAAGCAAAAAGAGGTGAAATAGTCACAAAGATTTTTAAAGATGCTTCCTTAGCATCCTTTGCCAAATACTTAGCACCTATTACACACTTTTATAGCCCTCTGTTTACTTGTTTGTCTAACCAATCATGCTTTAATTATCTTTGTATTTCAGCACTGTGCCCAACACAAAGTAGTATCTGTTTGAATGAATCAATCAATAAATAACTATAAGCATGACCTCAACCTTCTTGAGATCTCTTAATTCTAAGGAGAGGATCTGAGTGGGAGAGGAACTATCTCTTGGAATCCTGACACTCAGCTCCATTGTGAGCTCCTTCTTTCCTGAATTGTCATTTGGAAGCCAGGCACACTAACATTGCCATCATCAATACCACCTCCTTACCACATCTTTCCCATCAGCACTTTGACATGCTGTTATTTGTCATCTTGACCCTTCTTCCATCTTGAAACCACATGAGTAAACATCACAAGCAAAATCTTGAGGGAAAAAAAGCTATCAGATACAAATAGAATATAATGGTATGATTCCATTTATTTAAAGTAAAAAAACAGGCAAAACAAATCTATGCTGTTAGAAATCAAAATAGTCGATACCTTTGAAGAGGAGGAAGAGATGGCAAGAAGGAAGGAGCATAAAGGGGGGATTTTGGAGTGCTCATAATGTTCTACTTCTTGACCTGTGTCTGTATACACATATGTATTTATTTTATAGTATTTCATCAAGCTGACACTAGATTTGTAGTTTTCTCTCTGTATGTTAAATTTTATTAAAATAACAACAAAAACCAAACCAAAACAAAATAATGGCAATGACCTATACAAACCAAAATGGTTTTTTTTTTTTTTCTTCCTTCTACCTAATTTCCCATAACTGTTCCCTATGTTCACTTTTCTCAAACTATGCTGGCTTTGCTATTCCTTGAGATGTCCAGGGTTGGTACATTTGCAATTCTCTCAGCCTGGGATTGTGCTTCTCCCAGGCGTCCGTGTGTCTCACTCTTCTGTCTCCATAGGTCTTTAATGCACATATTCCTTCTCGGAGAGGCCTTCTGTGTCCACTCTTCTTTCATCACCAGCCCTTACCTTTATACACTCAGCTGCCTTTGAATTTGTTTTTCTCCATCATACTTCCTATCTAGTATACTTTATAATTTGTATATTTGGTTTTTTAAAATTCTTTTTTCCTTCCACTAGAGAGTAAAATCCATGAAAGCAAACATTTTTGTTTGTCTTATCCATTATTGTGAACACCTATGAACAGTGCTTGGCACACAGTAAGTATTCAATGCATAGTTGTTGAGTAAATGGACAGAGTTTCATCCCTTCTTTTGAAGGTTCTTTGTCTAAGATATTAGGTACCAATTCCTTTTTTGTAAGGAGTCAAGGACTCCTGAAAACTGTTCCTCCCTCATCTAACATATTCTTTTAAGGTTCCTCTTTTTCTATAGATTGCAATTATTTGTTTATTTAAAAAGTTATTCTAGTATTTACTCAGTTGTATGCCAATTTAGTGAGTAAAGTTTTAGAAATTATGGAATTCAGACTGTATTTACTAGATTCCTTTTATATACCAGTTTCTGGGCTGAAGACTGGGAATACAAGTATGAATAAGACATATTGGTCCTCTGGGCTAAGCATGAGGTAGAGGAGTCTGATTAGTAGATAATAGTTATGGTGCGGTGAGTTAGGCCTTGACTGATCTAGGATAGAGCTTGCCTCCACATTGCCCACAAACCACTAATTTTACCCTGTGCACTCAATATCAAGTACTTCTTTCTCTTTGTTAAAATTTTGAGATTGTTTTCTTTTCCATTCCATAATGTTGATGGTAGGAATTATGTTTGTTATTTCTGTATTCTTAGCATCTAGTACAATTTCTAGCTCAATAAATATTGATCTGATAGAGGTATGTGCTCCATGAGAGCACACACAGTGAGAATGATGGTCAGGGAGAGTTGAGGGTTGTCAGGAAACACTTTACAGATGAGAAAACATTGTAGCAGGGTTTTGAATAAAAACAAGAGGTTTTCCATTGTTTGATTATTTGTGATTCTTCCAAGAATGCCCTACTTCTTCTTTGTTGAGTTATTTTCTTAGTCTGAAATACTCTTCCCCACCTTTTCCAAGAGGTGAACTCCTATTGATCCTTCAAGGATGAGCTCAAATATCTGTTTTCCTCTGCTTATATTTGTGGGAGGTTTGTATTGGTAAAGGATGATAAGAAAGGAGTTTGTAGTGGGAGAATAGGAGAAGTGGGTAGAGGAGGAGAAGACCATGATAGACTAGTTCTCTTTAGGTCTAAGGGTAAAAAAGATTTGAGCCACTGTGCTTAAAGAAGGTAAAGGTCAGAAGTTACTGTAAATGTTCAAAAGCTCCTCTGTGAGTCTTTGGACACAAGGATAGCTGCTTTGGGATGGGACACAGGTGATGTGGTGTGGCCCAGAGGACATAAGAAGACCTTTTACTTTCCCTGAAATTAGGTCTGGGAATGTCCTGGTGCCAGGATCCTTATCATAGATGTTGATGTTATCCAAGTAAGCAGGCCATTGATGTTTACTCTAAGTGGCTCTCCTGGCAGCAGGTATGAAGGACAAGAAACAGAAGAGGAGATTACGAATTGGGAAGATGCCTTATGACTGCATCTTGAGGCTGCTTAGGTGGCCCATAGGAAGCATCCCTTTGGAGACCCTTATAAGTCACTGGGAGACCTCTTGGGGCATGAAGGTGGTGCAGAGGTCCTGCTCATTTTCTGATGAAGATGCCAATTCAGCAGACATTTGGGGTATGTTTTATTCATTGGATGATGTGCTTCTGGGAACATAAATAATGTCTTAGATCTTTATGGTCCCAGAACCTGACCCAAGGGACTCAGTGAATGCTAATCAGACTGAGATTAGAATGTAGTGTCTTAAATGATTACTGAATAATTTTTGAAAGGTATTACAAAGCTTGGAGCATTTTTTAAAATTGGGAAGGTATAAAGAAAACAGTGTTTTAGAAAGGAGAAGAGAAAGGTCGGACTGAGTTGATTTTGAAAACCAGAGAAAAGTCAGAGAAACTTTTGGATTTCTAACCTAGGGGACTGGTTTAGGCCTGTCCATAAGAAAGAGGGACATAGTAGGCTGTTTCAGCTCAGCATGAAACAAGTTCAGAAGGATGGTTGGGGCTGATTTTTTAAAGAGATTTAATAGAGAAAGGAAGAAAAACAGGGCAGAATTGTGAAAATGAAAGTACAACATACCAAAACTTAAAGGACACAATGAAAAATAATGTTCAGAGAGAAAATTATAGCTGTAAATGTCTACATTAAAAAAAAAAG